TAGGTTGGCTGTTTGAACCCTCTCATCCCTCCACGGGAGAAAGATGTGGCAGCCAGTTTCTGTGAAGATTTATATCCTTGAAACTGTATAGAGCAGTTCGATTCTGTCCTACAACATCACTGTGAGTCAGAATTGACTCCACAGCAATGGGTATTTGGTTTATTTAGCTTTTGGTTTTCTTATTAGAATCATGGGGATGTGGCATTGAGGGTAAAAAAAAAGTGCATTTTAAATCTGGAAGATACCTAAAACATAATCCAGATTAGCCCAGCAAAAAATTCATTGTTAGCTTTCGAATGAGATGTATCAGTGAATTCACGAAGCTGTGGTATAGTGGAAGGAGAAGAGGACTGGATGTAGGAGACCCCATGGCTTTTATTTCTACCATTAATTTATTTACTCTTAAAACTTAAGGTAAGTAATATGTCTTTAAATGATGATTTTCTTATCTGAAACAGGCCTTGAAACTTTTTTGTTTTCACACTACTTACTATTGGTAGAAATGTTTCAGCATACACTCTTCATAACACTTCAAAAATGTATTCCTAACTTAGTGAATCTTGTGGAGTAGTGGTTACGAATTGGGCTACTAACCTTAAGGTCGGCAGTTCGAAGCTACCAGCGTCTCCACGGGAGAAAAATGAGGCTTTCTGCTCCCATAAAGATTTACAGCCTAGGAAACCCTGTGCAGGGTCACTATGAGTCGGAACCAACTCCAGAGTACTTAACAACAACAACAACAACAACAACTTAGTGAAAGAGTTAAATGCTGCACTGCTAAATATCATTAGCTAATAAACACATCCTGTGCTAATTAACATAACAATAAACCCATTTCCAAATGTTGATGAGAACCTTGTATAGGATTTCCAAGGAGTGGCTGGTGAGTTTGAACCTCGGACCTTTGGTTCAGCGCTTATCCTACAGAGCCACACCAGGACTAAGTATACACTCAGGGGACAGTGTATATTTATACTGTCTAAGGAGCTCTGGTAGCGTAGTGGTTACAAATCGGACTGTGAGCCACAAGGTCAGCAGTTCGAAACTACCAGCTGTTCTGTGGGAGAAAGATGAGGCTTTCTGCTCCCGTAAAGATTTACAGCCTTGGAAACCCTGTACAGGGTCGCTATGAGTCAGAACCGATTCCACGGCACATAACAACAACAACAACAGTGCAGCATAGTTTTTTTTATGATCCTATACAGTGAGCTCAATGTGGGTTTAGGTTCCAGCTGACTGGCTACAGGAATCTTTTTCCTTGTTTCCTTATGTAAAATGAGTTAATAGTAATCACAGACTTATTGTAACAATGAAGTGTTAATATGTAATGCATGTAGAACAGTGTTTGAATAGAAAATAACTTCCACAATGTACTTTTAATTATCTTAGTTGTTACTAGCATTATTATATCTACATTTCAAAAAGTCTGTGGTAGTATCAGACATTTACCTGACGTGCCATATCTGATTTTAAAAAGTCAGTGTCTTTGCAGCATGATGAGCTCAGGAGGAGTCAAAATTCTAGGACTTGAACTGCTGTTTTGCCTGTTGTACTTGTATTCTGTTGAGCTTGCATTTTCATCGAGTTCAACCAATGGTTTCTTTGTAGGAATCTTTGAAAGCTATTTGGCCATTTTATGTGTGTTTTTAGTTAATAAGTGAGCTAGCTTATTAACTAAAAACTAGTCAATAAATGGGATGGCGTTATGGGTTAATGCGCTGGACTGCAAGGTCATTTTGAACAGCAGAGTTGGCAGTTCAAACTCACCAGTCACTCGTCAGAAACCCTATACAAGGTCACTATGAGTTGGAACTGGCTCGAAGGTTAACAACAACAATTTAATAATTCACAAATCTGTTTAACGAGATAATTTAGAGACCACTTATTTTTAAAAATGGGATAGGTATGCATTTCCAACTTGTGTATTGGTGATGCGAATCCACCAGCACATTGTGGGAGAAAGATGCAGCAGTGTGCTTCCATAAAGATTACTACCCTAAAGATTCTATGCTGCCCTGTAGAGTCACTATGAGTCAAATCCGTTTGATGGCAATGGGTTTGTTATTAAATATTAAAAAGAAGTTACAGAGCAAGCTATTTAAAAATTTTTAAATACTTGTAAGAGAAGCCAAAAATATATCACCTCTCATCAGTTGTTCTGAGTAGGGTGAGAAAGTTGTTCTCTACACATGAGACATGGTATTTTAATTCATAAAATAGAATCTATATTTAATATGCAAATGTAAGTTGACAAGTGAAAAAATATGTACTTTTTCTTTATTTAAAAACGAACTCCCTGGAAGCAGGCCCATGTTTGACTTTCCATATCCCTTTTGTGGTCCAGCAACTATTACTATTTAGTGAGAACTATAAATATTAGGAGCTCTGGTAGCGTAGTGGTTACAAATTGGGCTGCGAACCACAAGGTCAGCAGTTCGAAACTACCAGCTGGTCCGTGGGAGAAAGATGAGGCTTTCTGCTCCTGTAAAGATTTACAGCCTCAGAAACCCTGTCACTATGGGTCGGAACCGACTCAACGGCATTTGAACAACAACAACATATAAATATTGGATTCCTGGTGTAGAGCTGTAGAATCAGTACTGGACTTGGAACCACAAGATCAGCAGTTCAAGCCCACCAGTTGCTTCTTGGAAAACCTGTACAGAGTCACTATGAGTCAGAACCGACTTGACAACATATAAATATTAGAATCCCTGATAGTGTAATGGGTTGCAGGTTATGTTAGTAACTGTAAGGTCGGCAGTTTGAAACCACCAGCCACTCCACGGGAAAAAGATAAGGCTTTGTTCTCCTGAAAGAGTTGTAGCCTCGGAAACCTAATATAGGGCTGCTAGGAGCTGAACCACACTCCACAGCATACAACCATTACCACTACTATATAAATATTAATTGGTAATTGTTTCTGAGTTCTCTAGTGCTGCTATGACAGAAGTGCTGCAAGTGGGTGGCTTTAACAGACTGAAATTTATTTTCTCCACAGTGAAGGAGGCTGGAAGTCTGAATTCAGGGTGTGGGCTCTAGTGGAAGGCTTTCTCTCTCTTGGCTCTGAAGAAAAGTGCTTATTGCTTTCTGGCTCCTGTTGTCTTGGTTCCTTGGAAGATCTCATGTGGTGTGACATCTGTCATCCCTCACCTACGCTTGCTTGCCCAGTCTGCTCTTTTTATTTATATCTGGAGATAGACTTGAAACACATCCTTTACTGTCTAATTAACATAACAATAAACCCATTCCCAAATGGGACTATGTTGAAAGGAACCCTGTATAGGATTTCTGAGGAGTGACTGGGGAGTTTGAACCTCAGACCTTGTGGTCCAGTGTTTATCCCACAGAGCCACACCAGGACTAAGGACTAAGTATATAATAAAGCACACATGTTGTTCTTGTATAAATTATGGTATTTGTTTTCAGGAAGTCCAGGAGTATTAATTTTAATAAAACTTCATAAAATTCTTTTCTTTTCTCTAGGTGGTTGGTTCTAGCTATCGCCATGATACGTTTTTATATGGAGAAAGGAACACACAAAGGTTTATATAAAAGTATTCAAAAGACACTTAAATTTTTCCAGACATTTGCCTTATTTGAGGTAAGTTTTGAATGATCCAATTTTCTATTCTAATATTTATCTGAAATTTTATTTATTGAGCAGTATCAATCTTGTTTTACTGCTTACATACCACCGCTGGGTTCACTTAATAGGAATTTATTTCATGTTGTATGCAATTGACTTGTAATTTTTATTTTTTGTTTACAGATAGTCCACTGTTTAATTGGTGAGTTTTTGCTTTAATTTATATTTTTGTTATAAATTGCCTTTAGAGCAATAGTTGACTTGTTTTTCTCTTTAAGGAATTGTACCTACTTCTGTGCTTGTGACTGGGGTCCAAGTGAGTTCAAGAATCTTTATGGTGTGGCTCATTACTCACAGTATAAAACCAGTAAGTGAGATGAATATATTCTTTACTTGAATTTGCTGGGAAGTTTTAAAAATAGGAATCTAAAATACTGATGGAGTCCTGGTTGGTGCTAGGGCTTAATGTACCAGACTGCAAAGCCGTTTGAACTGCAAGGTTGGCAGTTCAAGCTCACCAGCTGCTCCTTGGAAGCTCTATACAGGGTCTCTATGGGTTGGAGTCAACTCAACAGCACTTAACAACAACAACAAGAAAATACTGATATTTGTGGACTTTAGGAAGTAAGATGGTTGGGCAAAAATGGTCAAGTTGGATTTGTGTGTGATTATATATTGACTTATTAAATATAGTTTTTAAATATAGTTTGAAACAGAAGCAAAGTTAAATATTGGTACTTTATATCCACAATGTATTCTGATGTTTTTCAGTTTTTTAAGTTAATATTTCATATTCTGTCAAATAGTCAGATGCAAATTTCATGTATCTTGAACTTAAGGATGTTCTCTCTCTTTGATCCTCAAATAGAAGTTGTCAGTATAAGTAGGTTATTTTTCATCATTCAGCATCCAGTGTTGTAGCAGTAGACCTAAAATGTACCTCTAGTTCTATAGACGTGAACAGATGGAGAAGACTAGAAGTTAGGAAAGGTAAGAAACTTAGGGATAAATAAACATATTATTTATTGAAGCATGAGTAGAGGCTAGAGACCTGAACCAGATGGCCTAAATCTTTTGGAGAAGACAAACATCATGCTGACTATGTCAAGATACTAGTCCTAGTAAACCCATGACAGAATCATTTCCCAGACAAACTTTTCTGACCTTCTCAACAGCCTTTGTAGCCTCCTTTGTACTTGAGGACAGATATCTGGCTCCTTTTCCGTTCCTCAGATGCCTTCTCTCTCTTCTGCTTGGGGACTTATATTTAACCTCTTTTGCATTTCCTGCTAGACTCACCAGCCTCCTGTCTTCCTGGGGACAGGCTGCTGACCTTTTGTGCTTTTACTCCTCTGCATTTTATTCCTCTTAACTAGTATCTTTCACTCAACTTCCTTGATTCACCTGGTCCCTACAGAGAGCAACAAGAATGTGTCATACAGAAAACCCAACTTTTCATTAAGTTGCCCAGTAGTTTAGAAGCAAGATTAAAAGGGGGCTTCAAAAAGTTTTTGGAAAATTTCTGGTATCTTTTCATTCTATTTTTACATGAACTGTCTGAAGCTTCCTTATATAATATTAACAGAATAAAGACGAGACTATCATAGACAGCGAATGAACATAGTAACTGGATTAGGACCACAGTGTGTCTGAAGATTGAAAGAGAAACAAGGCAAAGACAAGATGGCTTATGTCAGCCCTAGGGGAGAAGTGAGTGGCTCATGCACAGAACTGGGCAGCATTTTGTTCTGTTAAGCATAAGGTTGCTGTGCATCACAGACAACTAACTCAATGGCAACTGATAACAGAAACATGAGACTGGCCATTCCCAAAGAGACGACTCTTTTTTCCTCCAGAGAATCTCTGCATGATATTTTTATTTTTCTCCAGCAATAGCCTCCCATTGGCACGCATCCACCATTCTTAATTCAAGCACCATTTGTTGAATACATACTATACACTAAATTTCTGTATTTACACAAATCAGTAAGGCAGTCTCAGCTGTCAAGTGTACTGGTCCTGGGAGGGGGGACAATCATGTAAATGTTGAGTCATTCAATAACAATGAATTTGCACTTGTTCTATGCAGGACACACTGCTAGGGCTTTGGCTTCTAGCAATGCAAATCTGATTCTCACCTTGTAGAGCCTATTGTTGGGGAGAGATGTTAAGCAAGTCATTATATAAATAATTATTTAATCATATTAGTGTTAAGGGCTTTGAAACCATAGCCCAATTTGTAATGCAATATAACATACTTGGGAATTAGGCTGAGTGGGGAATGAAGGGAGCCTTCCCTGAGGAAGGATATAAGAGTGCAAGTAGAGTGCTGATGGATATGTGTACAAGAGATAGCCAGACAAATTGTGATGCACCCTGCCAAGTCTTGTAGTTATCACCAAAGTACTGTGACAACAAAACAAGGTGCTGATAACTGCTCAAGGAGAGGAGGAGTTTCGGGAAAGTTTTCCAGAGGACACAATGTTCTAGCTGTATCTTAGATGAGAAAGAACTTATTATGGGAAGTAATGTTGTTGTTGTTAAGTGCCATCAAGTTGGTTCCAACCCATAGCGACCCTGTATAGGGTTTCCAAGGAGGAGCTGGTGAGCTTGAACCTCCCACCTTGCAGTTCAAACAGCTTTGCAGTCTGGCGCATTTACCCACAGGACCACACCAGGACTCCATGGGAAGTAATAAGGAAATAATATCCCAATTAAAGGAGGCACATAGGTAAAGATGCAGAAATTCAGAACATATTCTGGAAAAAATACAAAGTTTAGTGTCACCAGAGAAGGAAGTAGGTAGGGGGTTGAGTGTGCATGGAGTTGGAGAGATTTCTAAGCTTCAGCCATGAAGAACATTGGAAGATCATACTCAGTTATAAGCATTTTGTCCTTCTGGTCTCTTAAGCATTGGGGAACCAATGAAGCTTTTAAATCATAGGAGTAGCTGTTCCCAGTTTGTTTTTTGTTTGTTTGCTGCTTTGTTTTGTTTTAAAGAGAAAACTGCAATCCTTGAAGTAAATGAAGAATGAAGACATTTTTAAGAGACTGTTAGCAATAGTCTAGATGATATGGCTCTGAATTAAGATAATGTTTGTTGTGGTTAAGTGCCAGGTTTGTTTTGTTTTGAAGAGAAAACTGCAGTCCATAAAGAAAATGAAGAATGGAGAGATATTTGAGAGACTGTTGCAATAAACTGGATGAGAGATGATACGGCTCTGAATTAAGACAATAGTGGTTGTTATTCAGTACTGGTTCCAACTCGTAGCACCCTGTATAGGATTTCCGAGGAGCAGCGGCTTAAGGATTTTAACCACCAACCTTATGGTTATCCTACAGCACCACACCAAGACTCTAAAATAATGGTTGTTGTTGTTGTTAGGTGCCATTGAGTTAGTGGGGTCAAAGAACAATGGCTAGATTCAAGAGTTACATTCTATAGTAAAATGAGTATCATTTAATGACTACAGAAAGTAAGAGGGTCAGATTGTTCCCATTCTGCATTCGGGGGTGTTGAATGCTATCCTGGGTTGATTGTTATTGGCTGGTGTAAAGGGTGAGGGACCAGTAAATGTCTGACCATTCATGTGCATAGGACATACTTAAGTTGCATGTTTGTAATTATTTCTGAAATGGTAGCTAATTTAAGTTTTCTGAATTACATTAAGTTTGTCTAACCCTAGCATATTCCATTATCATAATAGATACAGTAAATAAAATGTCTTCACTCCAAGATGAGCAACACTGTGGATTTCTTTGTAATCCTGCAGATCCAGAATGAGGACAGTGTGGTGCTTTTTCTGGTTGCGTGGACCGTGACAGAGATCACTCGTTATTCCTTCTACACATTCAGTCTTCTCAACCACTTGCCATACTTCATTAAATGGGCCAGGTGGTGATATCTTGCAGTTTAGTTTCTCACAGTCCTGTGCATGCTTGTTTTGTGTGCTGAGCTAACACCAGAGAATTGAAACTTGTGTTTTAGGCTTCATGATGCCGAAATGCTATTGTTTTGGGTATGATTAATGTTATAATTTGCATTCTAAAAGCTGAATTTAATGACCAAAGATGAATCATATTCATACATCTCTTGAGTGAAATCAGTGTAAGATAAATGATATTACTTTCCCTTAAATAACTTCTGAGTTGGTCATTTGGTTTTTTTGGAAACATAACATGAATATTACATAACTGTCCAAAACATGGCAATTCTATCCGATTTATTTAAATGATTTTAATACTAAATCTGGTGGTGGTAGTGATGGTGTGCCACGCAGTCTGTTTCAACTCATAGTGACCCCGAGTAGTGTTTCTGAGGCTATAAATATTTATGGGAGCAGAAAGCCTCATCTTTCTCATGAGGAATGACTGGTAATTTCAAACTGCTTACCTTGAGGTTAGCAGCCCTACTCGTAACCACTACGCCACCTACAAGGCCACAGCAGAACTACTCCCTAGAGTTTCCGAAGCTGTAAATCTATATGGAAGAAAATGGCCTCATCTTTCTCCTGTAGAGTGGCTGGTGAGTTCGAACCACCAAGTTTTAGGTTAGCAACCCTATGCTTAACCCATTGTACCACTAGAACTTAAAAAGAAAATTTGACATATATATAGAGAGAGTTTATCTTATTTAGCTAGATGGATGGATAGACTGGCAAGCAGACAGATATTGTCAAAATTCTTTAAGTCACAGACATATTTTTTTTTCTTAAATGATTTATTGTGAATTATGTGATAGTATACATAGAAGAACATTAGTTTTACATTCATTCTATCGTATATCATCTCATTGCCATGGTTACAATCCCCTCCATGCAATCCTTCCTCCGTGCCCCCCTGGTCTTCAGCACACAGTCGCTCTCCCTCTCTGGATCTAGAGTCTCCAGCTGCTCCATAGCTCCACATCATCATCTCTGGCTCCATTTCAGGCATCACTGCTTCTCTGGGTAGGGTCCCGCTCTCTGTTCTTCTCCCTTGATGGTCCTAGGGACCTCTGCTCCTAGACTGAAAAGTCAATCACTCCCCTCCTTGCTATTAAACGTCCACCTTTACATTTCCAACCCTCATAGTCAGTCCTGATAACAATTATTCACTATTGTATCACAGGAGACCCTTCTGCATTTCATTGCATCAGCTCCGCCTAGTCAGATTGAATACTACTCACTGGAGATTCTACCTTCCTCCATGCCCTCTGGATCTAGGTTCCCTCTTGAAAGCTTGTAAGCCAGTCACTTCTTGCCTTTGTAGTCCCCCATCCCCCATTTTGGGTAGCCAATGTCCAAGTTGCGCATCCCTGTCTACTCTGTGTGTGGAGGGGGTGGGAATGAGTCTTGCTGTAAGGACTTGTTCCCTCTTTTGAGCTACTGCTTCCATAGGTGTAGGTCAAGTTCATAAAATTGTGGGTGTTCTTATGCATATGCCCTCTCTTCTTATCAGCTGGACGCTTCACTCTCCACTCTAGTCCTCTGTGGCTATGTCACTGACTCTGGGCCCAAGAGTCCCCAGGTCTTACCACACTGCTGGCTAACCAGGTCTTCACCCGGGTTCACAGAACAGACATATTTTTTAAAGGTTAAATTAAATTGAAATTGTATTTGGAATGTGGGCTGTTCTAAAGTTATACTTTTTTAAAATGGGAAAAGATCTTTGTTTTTCTTAACAGTGTAAATTTTTTGAGCAACAGACATTTTACAATGTGATAAAAACAAGATTGCTCTTTTAAGATCTAATCACAACCAGTTTAGAATTTTTCTACTGCATTTTCTATATTGCACTTATAATAACAATAGCAATAATAACAGCAGAGAATGTAATGTTTCTACTTTATACCCAAAATGTAGTGTGAACAAAACAGTATCTGACCTCTTGAAATGGAGGAAGCAGAAATTTTTTTAAAAAAAGAAAAATCACCTTAATAGGTTGTCAAAAGTGCAAGGAGGTGATCAGAATAAGAAATCTACATCCTATGTATGTAGGTTACATGGATTGGTAAATATTTTCACTCTTAAAGTTTATTTTAAAACTACAGATTTAATACCTTTCCAGTGTATGAAGTTCAAACAGTACAGCAGTATATAGGATAAACACAAAAAGTTTCTGTTTCTAGTCTACCCAACCCACACCTTTCCCCCCAAAAAACACAGGAGTTTGTGCAGACATTTTCATATTAATGAAAATGTAAAAACTTAGATGTGAATTTTTCCGACATAAATAGGAGGCTTTATACTTCTTTTTATATCTTGGAGGTTTATTTTTTGTCAATATAGGTACATTTAGATCAAATTCTTTAACTCCAGAGCTGCACAATCTTTACTGTATGAACTTCTGTTGTTAGAATTTAGATTGTTCACAGTTTCCTACTATAAATAATGTTTGAGGTATTATAAATAATGTTATACCTGTTGTTGGGTGCCATCAACTCGGTTCCAACCTGTTGGAGCCTGATGCACAAGAGAAACACTACGTGGTCCTGTACCAACTTCACAAATTTTGCTATGCTTGAGTGTATTGCTGCTTCCAGGGTACCAATCCATGTCTGTGGGGGGTCTTCTTCTTTTTTGCTGTTCCTGACCTTTACCATGCATGATGTCCTTCTCCAAGGATTGATCCATCCTGATAATATGTTCTAAGTATAAGAGACAAAGTCTGGCCTCCAGGCTTTTAAGGAGCATTCTCGTTGTACTTCCTCCAGCACAGCTTTGTTTGTTCTTCTGGAAATCCATGGTAATTTTAATATTTCCTCTGACATCATAGCTCAAATGCATCAATTGTTCTACAGTCTTCTTTATTCATTGTCCAACTTCCACATGCGTATAAGGGTATTGAAACTATCATGGCTTGGGTCAGACACAACTTAGTCCTCAAACTGACATCTTTGCTCTTGAACACTTTGAAGACGTCTTGTGCAGCAGATAATGCATATTGCATTAGGCAAAATCATTTGATTTCTTTACTGCTGCTTACAAGAATGTTGATGGTGATACAAACGAAATGAAATCTCTGACAACATCTGTCTTGTCTCCATTTACATGGATGAAATTTATTGGTCTGGTGGTGAGAATTTTTGTTTTCTTTACAGTGAGGTGCAATTCCTATCGAAGGCTGTGGTCTTTGGTCTTCATCAGTAAGGAGCTTAAGTCCTCATCAAACAAGGTTGTGCGACCTGCATATTGCAGGTGGTTAATGAGTCTTCCTCCAATCTGGATGTCACATTCTTCATATAATTCAGTTTCTAAGATTATTTGCTCAGCATACAGATTGAATCAGTATGGTGAAAGAATACAACCCTGGCACACACCTTTCCTCATTTTAAACCATTCAGTGTCCCCTTGTTCTGTTCTAACAACTGCCTCTTGGTCTATGTACAGGTTCCTCATGAGCACAATTAAGTGTCCCAAAATACTCATTTTCCATAATGTTGTCCATAACTTGTCATGATTCACACAGTCAAAAGCTTTTGAATAGTCATTAAAACCCCGGTAAACATCTTTCTGGTATTCTCTGCTTTCAGCTAAGATCCATCGGACGCCAGCAATGATATCCCTTGTTACCTGTATTCATCTGACTCTGACTTGAACCTCTGGTAGTTCCCTGTCATTGTACTGTTGCAGCCATATTTGAATTATCTTTAGCAAAATTTTACTTGAATGTGGTGCTAATGATATTGTCCAGTCATATCTGCATTCCATTGAGTTTGTCTTTCTTTGGAATAGGCAAAAATATGGATCTTTTCCAATCAGTTGGCCAGGTAGCTGTCTTCCAGATTTCTCGGCATAGATGACTGAGTGCCTCCTGTGTTGCATGAGTTCGTTGAAAGATTTCAATTTGTATTCCATCAATTCCCAGAGCATTGTTATTTGTCAATGCCTTCAGTGCTCATTGGTCTTCTTCCTTCAGTATCATTTGCTTTTTATCATATGCTACCTCTTGAAATGGTTGAACCTCAACCATTTCTTTTTGGGACAATGACTCTGTATATTTCTTCCATCTTCTTTTGATGCCTTCCACGTCATTCACTATTTTGCCCACAGATTTGTAAATACAAATCGAAGTTTTTTTTCAGTTCTTTCAGCTTGAGAGATGGTGAGTATGTTCTTCCCTTTTGGCTTTATAATGCCAAGATCTTTGCATGTTTCATTATAATATTTGACTTTGCCATCTTGAACTACCCTTTGAAATTTTCTTTGCAGCTCTTTTACCTCCTCATTTATTCATTTGCTTTAGTATCTCTACACAAAGAGCCGGTTTCACAGTCTCTTCTGACATCCATTTCATCTTTTGCTCATTCTTCTTAATGACCTTTCCTCTATGATGTTCTTGATGTCATCTCACAACTCATTTGGTCTTTGGTCACTGGTGTCTGATTTACCAAATCTGTTCTTGAGATGACCTCCAAATTTAGGTGGGAAATATTCAAGGTCATATTTTGACTATTGTGGACCTGTTTTTAATTTTCTACAGCTTCAGCCTGAACTTGCATAAAAACAATTGAAGATCTGTTCCACAATCTGCCCCTGGCCTTGTTTTGGCTGATGATATGGAGATTTTCCACTATTAATTTCCATAGTGGAAAATCTGATGAAGTCCATGGGTATAGTCATGTTTTATGCTGTTTAAAATAGGTATTTACAGTGAGGAAGTCACTGGTCTTGCAAAATTCTACCCTGTAACCACCCCAGCATAGTTTCTAACACCAAATCTGTATTTTCCAACTACTGATACTCCTTTTTTGTTTCTAACCTTTGCATTCTAGTCACACGTAATCATCAATATATCTTGATTGCCTGTTTGATCAATTTTAGACTGAAGAAGTTGGTAAAATTCTTTCACGGGCTTTAGTGGTTGGTGGATAAATTTGCATAATACTTGTATTAACTTGTAGGTGTATGGATATTGTTCTATCACAGACAGCATTACACTTCAACATAGATCTTTAAATTTAAATTTTTAAATTTTTGATGATGATGAATGTGATGCCATTCCTCTTCAATTTGGCATTTCTGGCATAGTAAGCCATTTGATTGTCAGATTCAAAATGGTAAATACCAGTCCATTCCAGCTCAGTAATACATAGGATACTAGTGTCTATGCATTCCATTTCATTTTTGCCAACTTCCAGTTTTCCTAGATTCATACTTTGTACATTCCATGTTCTAATTATTAATGGATGTTTACAGCTGTTTCTTCTCATTTTGACTTGTGCCCCATCTGGAAATGAAAGTCCTGAAAGCTTTATTCCATTCGTGTCATCAGGGTCAACAACATAGTCATATTTTCAGTGTCTTCGAACCTGAGGGGCTCATCTTTTAGCGCTCCATCTGACAGTATTCTGGTGTCTTTCATAATGTTTCAGTATTCAGTTTTCTGTTGCAGTTCTACTGCTATTCATAAGGTTTTCAGTGACTAAATATTCAGAAATAGTCCACCTCTCCTACTTCCTAGTCTGTCTTAGTCAGGAAGCTCAGCTGAACTGTGTTCACACAAGTGACCCTTCTGGTAGTTAAAGTACTGGTGGCATAACTTTGAGAATTACAGTACCATGCAAGCCACCGCAGTACGAGAAACTTGACAGATGAGTAGTGAAATGTAATATCTACATTTGCTACTTTTAAAAACTCTAATGTTTATGTTAATATACTCTAAGCTTGTTTGAGGGTAATCCTTAGCTAGTGTTGGACTTGTTTTAGATCCTCCACCTAGTTAAAGCCTAACCCTTTCCAAACTAATTAGTCCTTATTTTTTATTACTATATTATTCAAATTTAGTCAATTAAAATATATAGATAAACCAAAAGAAAAATGAAAGCCTTATAATGATATATTATCCCACTATACTAGGCTAGATCTCTGGTGTAGGATAAGCACTGGAAGATGGGCAGTTTAAACCCCCCCAGCCGGCTCTCAGAAACCCTGTATAGGTCACTGTGAGTCTAGACGGACTTGATGGCACTTAACATCAACAACATAAATGGATGATCACTGTTTATTACTTATGTGTTCTTTCAAACTAAAAATATTCACTAGCTCCATTGTAGACATTTGTGGTTAGCAGTTTGCATATAAAATGCTTTCAAGTTATAGTATGAGCTTAAACATGCTCTCTTTTATAAGAAGATTTGCTACCATTTAGGTTTGTCTGGTTGGCTTCATTTTTATTCTACATGAAAATGTATTCACTTTTGGTGATTGGGCCTTTTAAAAGGTTGGCAGTTTGGAATGTGACTGGACTCTAATCCATGAGTGTGCGTATCAGTATCACTTTGCATGAGCACAGTCTCCTGGACTTTTAGGATCTTAAAAATGCTAATCCTGATGTTAGTCTCTTTTTATGTGTTGTATGCATACATTTGTTTGGAGAAGATACTTCAGTCCACCTTGTAAATATCTTTTAGGCTATCACATTGGTTTTCAATGTCTTGTCCATAGACCTTTTGGAATGCATTTGCATGTCTGGAATAAGAGAAGTTGAAAACTTTACCTTTTCATTGCATATTTGAATTCACGGATTAGAAAATGTTTGTCAAGTACCCTAGTGTTAAACAAGGCATAAAATATTTCAATTTTGAAATGCATTTGCTAGCATAATATGTTGTCAATTAATCTTGTTGTTGTTAAGTGCCGTTGAGTCGGTTCCGACTCATAGCGACCCTGTATAGGGTTTCCGAGGAGCGGCTGGTAAGCTTGAACCACCGACCTGGCAGTTCAAATGGCTTTGCAGTCTGGCACATTAACCCACAGCGCCACACCAGGACTCCCAATTAATCATAGATTACCTTTTATGTCAAAAATCTAGACAATCCTGAATGTCTGAATATATATATGCAAACCCCATTAAATAACCTAAAATAATATTTATGTTCAAATGTTGAAGTTATTCTCAAATAAAAAGTCACTTTAGGAATGGCTTCTCATTTATAAATTATTTGGCTGACTATAATGGTGTGAATATACTTCATTCTATCTGTGTGTCCACAAAATAGGCAATTGTATAATTAGTTATATTTTCATATTGACACACAGAAAAATTCACCATCCTTAAGGCTTTAAGCAATTTTATTGTAGAAATGGTAAATGGGTGTTCCCCCATTAAACAATACTATAAAAAATAACAAAAAATAATTCTTTTCAGAAAATAAGAAATATATCAAACATAATATATTTTATTTGAGAAGGGAATATAAAATGTTCAATTTTGTGATTTAAAAAATTAATAGGAAATGATTGATTTAAATAATACCAAAAAGCCCTAGAAAAGACTGGTAAGAAACCAGGAGTATATGCACCGAATGTTTATTGGGGGATTAGTGGATAGAGAGACAAAGTAAGATTAAGGGCTCATTCTTCTTTCTCTACCAGTTCATCAGTTTTGGTAAATAATTATTCCCCTCTCCTCAGTCTTTTATTCTAGTATATTCTTGGCATATAGGACTAAGGTGGTATTTAAATTGTCTCCAAGCTCCTACAATTTCATCTGAATTTTCCTTACAGTTATGAGGGGGCTTCAGAAGGTAAAGGAACAATTCCATTATCTTTTAATTCCATTTTCTATGAACTTTTTGAAGCCCTCCTATATGCAAACAAAATGATTCAATGTGTATTTTATTTATTTTTTACCATAATTTCCTGTGATGTGTACTTATAGTGACTAACTTACTGAAAATAATTTCATTTGATGGAAAAATGCCATTGTTGGCCTCCCTTTTTTTTTTTTAGGGTCTTCCTACTGAGACAAATTGAGATATAAGAGTTCCCCTAACTGAAGGCATAAATGGTGGCCGGCATAATATGTTAGAATGCTTGCCCCAAGGCAAACAGACAAATTATGCTTTTCAAAAATAGAACTTTTCCAGCTTTCATGTGGAAATTCAACAAGTAACTTATCTTACTTGTTTTCTTATGAAAGCCGTTTTAGGTAATGCATTCAGTAGTTAGATAGTATTACCAGTTTTCTGTAATAGTTAAGTCTGTGTCTTTTAATTAGTAATCACAAAAAGTTTTTTTTTTAATGCCTCTTATGAACTACCTTGGTAATTCCAACAAGGTTTAGATTTACAGTTGGGATCACAATTGGTCTTTAAGCACATCATTTGGCCAGTAAATGATTGGCTAACAGGCTGAGTATGTGTCGTTGAAAGTTGGTTCTCTTATGTTGTTGTTTTTGTTGTTGTCGTTAAGTGCCATTTAGTTGGTTCCAACCCATAACGGGTCTGTATAGGGTTTCCGAGGAGTGCCTGATGAGCTTGAACCACCAACCTTGTGGTTCAAATCGACGTTGCAGTTCAATGCATTAACCCACAGTGCCATACCAGGCCTCCTTACCAGAGTAGAAAGCTTCACCTTTCTCCCTCAGAGCGCCTTGTGGATTCAAACTGCTGACCTTCAGTTAGCAGCACAATAGTATAGAGGCTTCAGGGCTCTATAGTAAATGACTGTTGTTGTTTGTTGTTTAGTGTCCTCATACCCACCTGGCATGGGGATTCTGAGGGGTGAGTAGCTGGTGGATTTGAGCTGCCAAGCACTGCAGTTCAAACCAACCTTGCGATCCATCACGGTACCACCACATGAGCAGGGGCAAAAAAAAATCAGTTCTGATTCTAAGCCTTGAAGACGTTACCTTCACACTACTTTAAAAAATACTGTGTGGACAGTTTTTAAATATATAAAAGCATTTCAGTACCGTAAAGTTAGTTGACTTCCTATTTTAATAAGATCTTGTCATTCAAAATTGAAACTACTATGTGAGCAAAACATAATCAAATTAAGGAAATGATTAAAGTCGAAAAAATTGCTTTATGTGAGGTTATTTTAAGTCTGAAGAGAAAGGGGAAATTTAAAGTTGATATATGATGGGAACAAAAGAACCACGATATAAAATATAACATCATTATTCTAGAAAAATAATTCTGTGAGGTTTTTCTTTCCCCAGATACAATTTTTTTATCATCTTATATCCTGTCGGAGTGGCTGGTGAACTTCTTACCATATATGCTGCACTTCCATATGTGAAGAAATCGGCCATGTTTTCATTAAGACTTCCAAACAAATACAATGTCTCTTTTGACTACTATTATTTTCTTCTTATAACCATGGCCTCATACATACCATGTAAGTATATATATTTGTACTTTGGTTTATATATTAAAGTTTCTGGGGAAATAGCATAATAACTTAGTTTAATAAACAAGGAGAAAAAATTTTAAATATGCAAATATATTAAAACGCTTTATTCAACTCCCATTTCTTCTTCTTCTTCCCCCACCCCCCCACCCCCACCCCCAGTCAACTGTACTTTGTTAACATCCATTGTGTTTCTGGTGCTGACAGTGTTCCACTACTATTCATAAGGTTTTGTTTGTTGGGTTTTTTTTTTTTAATAATTGAAAGGGTGGTGTACCAGAAGATTTTTCACAAAGAAATAAGGATTAAGTAAATGAAAACACAAATGATTGCTTTCTTAAAATCGCTTAAAAATGAACTCAGTATGATTTACTCGTTAATTATAGAATTGATTTTGTTGTTAAGAATATATAAAACAAAATATACACCAATTCAACAGTCGCTGTACATAACACTTAGTGACCTTGATTACATTCTTCCAGCTGTACAACCATTCTCTCACCCGCCTTTTCTGAGCTGTTCCTCCATCATTAACATAAACTCATTGTCCCTTAAGGTTTCTGTCTAATCTTCTGAGTTGTCCGTTTGATCCTATGTGGATCTTATAAGAGCATAGCTCAAGGGAGACATCTTTTTACAGGAAGTGGTTCTTTTTTACTTGTTGTTGTTGTGAAGTGCTGTTGAATCGATTCCGACCCATAGCGACCCTGCATAGGGTTTCCGAGGAGCATCTGGTGAGCTTGAACCGCCGACCTTGCAGTTCAAACGGCTTTGCAGTCTGGTGCACTAACCCACAATAAACTATTGTTTTGCTTTAAAAAGACTTCAGGGGATATTTTTTATTTACATTTTATAGATTATTTCAGGGTTTCATCCAACTTTCATGGCTCCAGTTAAGTCTGGAAATCATGAGAATTTGAAATTCCTTTCTGTATATTCCCCCTTTTGATCAGGATGATTGGTTGTTCTTGTTAAGTGCTATCAAGTCAGTTCTGACCCATGGAGACCCTGATGAGTTTGAACTGCCAACCTTGAGGTTCACACCGACTTTGCAATCCAGCACATTACCTCCACAGCACCACACCAGGACTCCCAGGATACTTAATGGAATCTTGGGTCAAAATGTTCAGTAATGTTTGTTGTTGTTAAGTGCTGTCGAGTCCGTGCTGACTCATAGCAACCCTGTATAGGGTTTCTGAGGAGCGACTGGTAAGTTTGAACCATCAACTTTGTGGTTCAAACGATCTTGTAGTCTAGTGCTTATCCAAGCACTATCCAGTTCTTCTGGGCTCATAACAAAGGAAGCAGTTGTTCATGGAGGCAATTAGCCACACATTCCACAACCTCCTCACATCTTCCTCCTATTCCTGACTCTCCTCCTAACTATGTTTTAAAGATTTTTTTTTTATCTAAAGAAAGAGTAAAACTTGTATCACTGAGAAGTATTCAAGCATTTGGAATTCCATATCTGAGCATAAACATTGTATCCAAGAAAATTCTAGATCTTTTCTATTAAGCTTACACTTGGAAAAATCATGGAGAAGTGCTTTTTAGTGTTGTTTCTCTATGAACTTGAAAATAATAAGCAACTTCTTTAAAATATAATTCAGTCTTTTCATTAGTTTCTCATCACGTTCCAGTAGTTGTAATGAACTGATGAGACTACTCATTCCATGTAAATACTTGTTTGTTGCTGTAAAGTCACTATAAAGTGGCTATTTCCTGCTAGTGGCTATTAAGCAGGAAATGGGTATCCTGGTGTTGATAAGTACTGGACCTACAAGGTCATTTGGACTGCAAGGCTGGCAGTTCAAACTCAACAGCTGCTCCTCGGAAACCCTAAATAGGGTCACTATGAGTTTATGGCACTAAACTGCAACAGCAGGAAATGGTAGACTTGGTTGTGCGATGCTTAAATAGCTTGGCTGAGCTCCACTGCTAACTCAAATTTTGGCAGTTCAAACCCCTAGCAGTTCAAAGACCTGGCAATCTGTTCCCATAAAGATTAGTTTAGAAAACTAATTCTAAAACACAAGGATTTACTATGAGTCGGAAAACAGCATGGTGGCACGTAACAACAAAAAAACAGCAGGAAATAAAAGGAAAAGCAGTGTTGTTATTTGCCTTTCTAAATACAATTAGAGACTTTCATGTTGGGGAGAGGGGAAGGCAATGGGAATCTAAATGAGATTTTAGTTTATAGAATCTAAAATCTACTTTGACACATAATATAAAATATTTCTGCCTAAACAGGATAAGCATCAAAATTGGCCATCCCCTTGAGGTCTCCAGCTTATAAGCGCTTCTAAAATTAAAATTGACTTAGTCAGAGTGTTTTTCTCCCTGTCTGCTTCCATTACAGCCTGATTCTGCCATCAGGTTTCCTACCATGACCAGTTGGACATTCAGTAGGGTTAAGGAGTGTTATGTTGACACCACTTGATGTATAAATAGATAGTAACATTTTAACTGGAGCACTACCAGATCCTGCTGTAGTGTCTGCTATAGTTACAGGTTCAAGTATTGTGCTCCCCTCTTCCTTATAATCCCTGAAGCATCTGTACAGACACCCAGGAACTGAAAGATTATGGTTCAGAGCACTCAACCAATACATTTTGACTGAGTTTTCCATTCTCTTTGGAGATTTAGCCAGTTACCAAGTTGCCATGAAATTGAATCTGACTTGTGGTGACAGCATGTGTATCAGAGTAGGAATTTGTTCTGTAGGGTTTTTGGTAGCTGACTTTTCAGAAGTAGATCACCAGGACTTACTTCTGAGGTACCTGTTCAGTTACCAGCTCAGTGCATGAACTGTTTTTACCACCTGGCATCTGGCAATCGTAGTTTTACTATGCTGACAGTTGCTGGAGAGTCCCACTTGCAGAGTACGAGAGAGCTAGGATGACACTTTTTGTACTGTTTCATTATGGGTATGTTGTTATTATTATTGGTGGTGGTGGTGATGTGCTGTGGAGTCGGTTCCAACTCATAGCGACCCTGTACAGGGTTTCCGAGGCTGTAAATCTTTACGGGAACAGAAAGCCTCATCTTTCTCCTGCGGAACAGCTGGTAGTTTCAAACTGCTGACCTTGCGGTTTGCAGCCCAATTCTTAACCACTATGCTACCAGATCTCCTTGTTACTGCTGTTGTTGTTGTGGTTAAGTGCCGTTGAGTCAGTTCCAACCCAAAGCGACCCTGTACAGGGTTTCTGAGGCTGTAAATCTTTACAGGAGCAGAAAGCCTCATATTTCTCCCGCGGAGCGGCTGGTAGTTTCGAACTGTTGACCTTAAGGTTCGCAGCCCGATTCATAACCACTACGCTACCAGAGCTCCTTGTTATTGTTATTAGGTGTCTTCAAATTGGTTCCAACTCATAGCAACCCTATGAACAACAGAATGGAACACTACCTGGTCCTGCACCATCCTCACAATTATTGTTATGTTTTAGCCTCTGTGCCAGTCCATCTCACTGAGGATCTTCCTTTTTGTCACCTACCTTCTGTTAATATGCCAAGTGCCATCAAGTTGGTTCTAACTCATAGCAACCCTGTGTACAGTGGAGTGGCTGATGGGTTTGAACTGCTGACCTTGCAGTTACCAGCCCACTGCTGATCTTACAGTGCCATACCAGGACTCCTTTTTTAGTATGTTGTTGTTGTTAAGTGTCATTGAGTCCATTGTGATTCATAGCAACCCTGTATAGGATTTCTGAGGAGCCACTGGTGGATTTGAACTACCAGCCTTGTGATTAGGAGTCCAGGTTTCCCTGCACTGGAGTATTCTGACATGGTATTCTAAAGACTTAGAGAATTCTAAATTCAAATGTCTTGTTGGCCATTAGCAAGTTTTATTTGTCATGGTATTTAAGTTTCTTTAAAATAACACCTATCGTTTATGGCATTAGTTAGTTTTGTGGTTTATGGGCCTCAGTTTGTACTGTTTATTCTGAACTCTGTAATGTTAGGGGTGGCAGTAAATTCTTAGAGGTACAGAGTAATTTTATAATGCAAGTACTCTTAAACTTTGCCACATTTAACAGGTGGGTGTAGTTTCAAGTGTAAATAAGACAGTAGTTTATTTTCTTTGTTTTCTTTTTTCAATCAAGTGTTTCCACAACTCTATTTTCATATGTTTCGTCAAAGAAGAAAGGTGCTTCATGGAGAGGTGATTGTAGAAAAGGATGATTAAATGATCCCTGCAAACAAGGTGCTTTTTCCAGAATAACCAAGATTACTTGAGTCCAAGTTTTAATAACAAGAATAAACAGCTTCATGAAATTTCTTGGATTGTATTATTTCTTAAAATACTACTTGAGCTTTTCCCGTAAGTGGCCTGAGGTAATCTCACAAAATGGTTCGCTACTCATTTGACCCAGAAAACACCACAAAATCATGCAAATCCAGAGGTTCAAATCTCCGGGTCCATTTTAAGAACACTCATGAGACTGCCCAGGCCATCAAGGGTATGCATATCCAAAAAGCCACCAAGTATCTTAAAGATGTCACTTTGCAGAAGCAATGTGTACTGTTCTGACGTTACAGTGGTGGCGTTGGTTGGTGTGCCTAGGCCAAACAGTGGGGTTGGACACAGGGTCGGTGGCCCAAAAAAAGTGCTGAATTTTTGCTGCACATGCTTAAAAATGCAAAGAGCAGTGCTGAACTTAAGGGTTTAGATGTGGATTCTCTGGTCATTGAGCATATCCAGGTCAACAAAACTCCCAAGATGTGCCGCCGAACTTACAGAGCTCATGGTCGGATCAACTCCTACATGAGCTCCCCCTGCCATATTGAGATGATCCTCACTGAAAAGGAACAAATTGTTCCTAAACCAGAAGAGGAGGTTGCATGGAAGAAAAAGATATCTCAGAAGAAACTGAAGAAACAAAAACCTACGTACAGCTCGGGAGTAAAATAACTTAAAATAAAATGCACATAAAAGTAAAAAAAAACACCAAAAAAACTACTTGAAACATAGTATTTGCCAATCTTTTCCTTCACATTGTGCCAGATCCATTGTCTACAAGAACTATGCAAATATCAATCTAAGTGTGAATGTCAAACATTAAAAACATAATTGGGTGTATTACCCTAGCAATAATTAAAAAAGGAAAAAACTTTTGTTAGTTTTACTTTTTTTGCGGCATATGCTCAAAACTTTAAAAATCAACATTTAGAAATTAGTTCAATGATTTAACATTATTTTGCCTTCCAGTGGTATTTATGTGATATTTATAAGTGAAAGTAAATACAACATTATAATAGCTTGTTAATAATGTATTGGTATTTCTTGAAGCCAAAATTGATTTTTTTTTTTTTTTTTAAGTTATATGGCAGCATTTCTGATGAGTAGGAGTTTTGGATGCGTGGACAGAATTTGCTGTGATAAGGCATATAAAAGTATTCGAATAGATAACATGTTCTTTGAAAATATGTCTAGTCTGTTGAAATGATTTATGCCACTAAGTGAATTTATTCTTATTTGAATTAACCACTCAAGGACAGTTTTTTCAACTTTAACTACTTTAAGAGGTTACAAAGAATATGAGTAAATACTTGTTCTCACATGTAAGAAAAAGAAAACCATAGATTGTGGATCATAATGTACTCAGAACCCTGATTGAGAAAGGTTGCTGGGCACTACGGAATCATTTGATCCAAATTGTCTTATAACAATCCCTTTGTGGTACTTAGCTAACTATCAGTCTTATAGTATGATCTGAAGCAGACTCATTTCACTCTAAATTCCATTGCCTTATAATAAAGCTACGCTGAAGATCATTTAATACTACTCTAAATCCTAAATACTTTTTGTCAAAACTTTACCTCTATTAAGGTATGCTGATTGAAGGGCCCAGTTTAGAGAATATTAGATAAGTGACTTTACCAGAAAAAACAAACTTCCTGCATTCCATAAATTATGTTGACATAATTTTGTCTTTAAATGTTCTGTATTTGTTTACAATCAACATGTAATGTTACATTTTTCTAAATCACTTGTTTTGTGTTACCACCTCCTTTTAAAATTTTTTTCATGTAGAGATTTGTAGTTTAGAATGTTTTCACAAACTATTCTAGTAACTTTCTTTTTTAAACATCTGTTTTTTTTAAATTATATTTTAATATTTCCTGAATATTTTAGTGAGCAAGATGTATCAGATACTAATTCTCAATTCATCTGCTCATTCTGCTCTTAAGCTATTTGAACATTTTTTTCATTCTTAATTTTTATGGAGAAATTTTCAGGGAGTAATTATGATAAGACTGTATTTAAGTTACCTATTAATTTATTGGAGTCCTGGTGTGGCACTGTGGGTTAATGCTCTAGACTGCAAAATTGGTTTGATCCACAAGGTTGACGTTTCAAGCTCACCATTCACTCCTTGGAAACCCTATACAGGGTCGCTATGGGTCAGAACCGACTCAAGGGCACTTAACAACCACAGCATTAACTTATTGGATGTCTTTTGAAATTATTTAAAAATTTTCAAATAATTTAGCCTGTACTCTATTCAAGAAGGTGTGGTACTCATTTTTAGTCTGTAAGTTGAATATCTTGAAGTAGAAATTGTGGTTAACTTTAGTATTTTGATATTTGTAAGTTTATGGAGATTTGTTTTGTGGCCTAAAACATGGTCTATTCTGAAGAATGTTCCATGTGTACTGGAAAAGAATGTGTTTTGTGCAGTTGTTGGGTTGAATGTTCTGTACACATCTATGAGGTCCAGTTGGCTGATTGTGTTGTTTAGTTCTTCTTTGTCTTTGTCAAGTTTATTTCTGGTTGTTCTATCCATTTTTGAAAGCGGTGTATTAAAATCACCCACTATTATTGTAGATTCATCTATTTCTTTTTCAAATCTATTAGAGTTTTCTTTATATATTTTGGAGCTCTTTCATTGGGAGCATGGATATTTATTATGGATATTTCATCTTGTTCAGTTGTCCCTTTAATCATGAGATAATGTCCATCCTTATCTATTATGCTGTTTTTTGCCTTAAAGTTTATTTTATCAGAGATTA